ATGGACCTTACCACACTGAAGATGGTTAATGTGATAATAACATAACCATGGACCGTACCACACTGAAGATGGTTAATGTGATAATAACATAACCATGGACCTGACCACACTGAAGATGGTTAATGTGATAATAACATAACCATGGACCTTACCACACTGAAGATGGTTAATGTGATAATAACATAACCATGGACCTTACCACACTGAAGATGGTTAATGTGATAATAACATAACCATGGACCGTACCACACTGAAGATGGTTAATGTGATAATAACATAACCATGGACCTGACCACACTGAAGATGGTTAATGTGATAATAACATAACCATGGACCTTACCACACTGAAGATGGTTAATGTGATAATAACATAACCAAGGACCTGACCACACTGAAGATGGTAAATGTGATAATAACATAACCATGGACCTGACCACACTGAAGATGGTTAATGTGATAATAACATAACCATGGACCGTACCACACTGAAGATGGTTAATGTGATAATAACATAACCAAGGACCTGACCACACTGAAGATGGTTAATGTGATAATAACATAACCAAGGACCTGACCACACTGAAGATGGTTAAAGGCACACACGTGTAACTCTTGGCCACTAGGGGCGCTAGACCTGCAACTTTCACGTTTAGCGCCCCTAGTGGCCACAAGCAACTCAGCACTGTCGCAAAAGTCAACAAACAGTCAGCCGGTGTCTTTTGAGTGTGTATTCAGACAGCATGCACTGGTGTGTGTGTTCAAACTGTAGAGACATGCCTACAGATATTGAGAGACTCTGCTGTGGTCAGCCTCCAGACCGCTGCATTAGTAATCTACCACACATGGACTTCTATATCTTGGATGAGGGAGTTCTGCGTCTAGCTCGTGCTGCGTGGAATGACATCTTTGCAGTCGATGACATCCAGGAACCAGGTGAAGAGCAGCGCTCATACAGACATGCAGCTTACAGCACGATCCCTTTCGCGTTTCCTCTTTTTAGCCTCCTCCGAAGGTTTAAAATTTTTCCTTGCCTCAGCCATGACCAGGAGTCGAGCAGGTGAAAAATGAGTAGCAAAAGCCTTAGCTCCATGAGTATATCAGCGCCTGTAGCCGTAAAGCAAGTCTTTCTTCCAAGTCACGTGACCTGGTGGCAGACGGTCCGTCTGCTCGAAACTTACATGGGCGGTATTTCAAGAGGGCAGCCCCGCTCGGAGCATTGCAAGTGTCAAGCGCTGTATATTGGCCCAAGTATTCATATAAAATAACTCATATGTGTCAACTCTTTAGGTCACAAAGTCCGCGGTGTGCCTTTAATGTGATAATAACATAACCATGGACCGTACCACACTGAAGATGGTTAATGTGATAATAACATAACCATGGACCTGACCACACTGAAGATGGTTAATGTGATAATAACATAACCATGGACCTGACCACACTGAAGATGGTTAATGTGATAATAACATAACCATGGACCTTACCACACTGAAGATGGTTAATGTGATAATAACATAACCATGGACCTTACCACACTGAAGATGGTTAATGTGATAATAACATAACCATGGACCGTACCACACTGAAGATGGTTAATGTGATAATAACAAACCATGGACCTGACCACACTGAAGATGGTTAATGTGATAATAACATAACCATGGACCTTACCACACTGAAGATGGTTAATGTGATAATAACATAACCATGGACCTTACCACACTGAAGATGGTTAATGTGATAATAACATAACCATGGACCGTACCACACTGAAGATGGTTAATGTGATAATAACATAACCAAGGACCTGACCACACTGAAGATGGTTAATGTGATAATAACATAACCAAGGACCTGACCACACTGAAGATGGTTAAAGGCACACACGTGTAACTCTTGGCCACTAGGGGCGCTAGACCTGCAACTTTCACGTTTAGCGCCCCTAGTGGCCACAAGCAACTCAGCACTGTCGCAAAAGTCAACAAACAGTCAGCCGGTGTCTTTTGAGTGTGTATTCAGACAGCATGCATGGTGTGTGTGTTCAAACTGTAGAGACATGCCTACAGATATTGAGAGACTCTGCTGTGGTCAGCCTCCAGACCGCTGCATTAGTAATCTACCACACATGGACTTCTATATCTTGGATGAGGGAGTTCTGCGTCTAGCTCGTGCTGCGTGGAATGACATCTTTGCAGTCGATGACATCCAGGAACCAGGTGAAGAGCAGCGCTCATACAGACATGCAGCTTACAGCACGATCCCTTTCGCGTTTCCTCTTTTTAGCCTCCTCCGAAGGTTTAAAATTTTTCCTTGCCTCAGCCATGACCAGGAGTCGAGCAGGTGAAAAATGAGTAGCAAAAGCCTTAGCTCCATGAGTATATCAGCGCCTGTAGCCGTAAAGCAAGTCTTTCTTCCAAGTCACGTGACCTGGTGGCAGACGGTCCGTCTGCTCGAAACTTACATGGGCGGTATTTCAAGAGGGCAGCCCCGCTCGGAGCATTGCAAGTGTCAAGCGCTGTATATTGGCCCAAGTATTCATATAAAATAACTCATATGTGTCAACTCTTTAGGTCACAAAGTCCGCGGTGTGCCTTTAATGTGATAATAACATAACCATGGACCGTACCACACTGAAGATGGTTAATGTGATAATAACATAACCATGGACCTGACCACACTGAAGATGGTTAATGTGATAATAACATAACCATGGACCTGACCACACTGAAGATGGTTAATGTGATAATAACATAACCATGGACCTTACCACACTGAAGATGGTTAATGTGATAATAACATAACCATGGACCTTACCACACTGAAGATGGTTAATGTGATAATAACATAACCATGGACCGTACCACACTGAAGATGGTTAATGTGATAATAACATAACCATGGACCTGACCACACTGAAGATGGTTAATGTGATAATAACATAACCATGGACCTTACCACACTGAAGATGGTTAATGTGATAATAACATAACCATGGACCTTACCACACTGAAGATGGTTAATGTGATAATAACATAACCATGGACCGTACCACACTGAAGATGGTTAATGTGATAATAACATAACCATGGACCTGACCACACTGAAGATGGTTAATGTGATAATAACATAACCATGGACCTTACCACACTGAAGATGGTTAATGTGATAATAACATAACCAAGGACCTGACCACACTGAAGATGGTAAATGTGATAATAACATAACCATGGACCTGACCACACTGAAGATGGTTAATGTGATAATAACATAACCATGGACCTTACCGCACTGAAGATGGTTAAGCTGAGGTGCTGTGTTAAAGTGCTTTTTTCTGTCTACCTACTTTACCTTTGTGAGCAAGTTTTCTCTGTAATGAGCCTTAAAACAAAGCTAACATAATACAAATATTAATATACATATTGTGAAATACCATTTTCAATGTAATATTGTAAATACATTACATTATTTGCACTATGGAAAACTCACTGTTACATTTAAGTTTGTAACAGAAAACTGAGTATTAAAGGATAGTGTTTTAAAGGAAGTTTTAAATAAATGTGTTTATGTGCACAAAAAGTTGGACTTTGTACCGTTTTTGGATATTTTTGTAGCATCTCCTGGTCCGGCCCACTTGAGATCAGATTAGGTTGTATGCGGCCCCCGGACCAAAATGAGTTTGACACCCCTGTATTAGATGAATGTAATGCATATAGTTACATTACAACAAAGCTTTACATGAAGGTTATTTAAAGTAATACATTACTGCTACTTATTTCCTCACAATTTATATATTTGAAGTTCTTTGTAGACAAGACTGTAGTAATGTATTATGTGAAAATAAAGCTGCATCTCACTGGAAGCTGCCTTCTCAATGTCACAAAATGAAGATACATTTATTGATGTAATCAACATCTGTATTATGTGCTTATTGTTCAGAGAATTAAGACAAAATCAAAGTGTATCAGAGCTGTACAGTGAGATGTGGGACTGAAAAACAATCCAGTAAAGCTTGTCCGAAACGCAAAAGTACTGTGTCTAACTAATTACGTTACACTGACTGTTACACTGTAATGAAACTTACCACTTTGAAAGCAAAGCTACAAGTAACATAGAATATATAAAGTCATTGTAACAAACCGGCCGTTCGTTACCTAACCCACACTGCACTTTTGAACATGGCTAGATATAAAGACATTGCACATATATTCATGTAAGAATGTTTATTGAGAGGGCTGTGGTTGTCCGTGGGTCCGGTGTGGTGCGTTCCGGGTAGGGTGCCGGTCCTGCGGAGGCAACATGTAATTAGAATTGGGCATAGTGCAATATGTGTAGCTTAAGAAGTGGTAATGTTTTAGTGTTTGTGCATGTGGTGAATGGTCGGGTGTCTGGGTGCGTGAATGTGTGTGTGAGCGCAGTTTGTTTACCTTGTCTCTTGTGTCCAGGATAGCGTGTCTGACGGAAAGAGTCCGGGGGGAACGGACGCCGCTAAAACCCGTTCCGGGCTGAACCAAGGGGCAGAATAGGCGGGGGGGGGGGCTGCAGGGTTGTAACGGGTTTTAGGTCTTGGTTTATTTTGTTGAGTGGTTTGGGTTGGGATTGTGTATAGTGGGGTTTTTTTCTATGTCTTTGTATTTTGGTTGGGGTTTATATGTGAGGGTTGTAGAGGTTGTGAGAGCAAATGTGACATGTGGACACCTGCTTATCTAGAGTGGTTTTATCCAATTTAGAGGGAGGGTATTTAATGAGTCTCATGCTCTCACTCTGGGTTGGGCTGCTGGATGAGCTACACTGATTGAGTCCTCCCATGCACTTTAATGCATTTGCACTTTATTATGGTGAACTTTGCATTTTTTCACACACAAAAAAAGAAAATAAATTTGAAAAGTGGACCCTCAAGACTGCCTCCCTGGTGTTTGTGTGCCCACCGCCGCCCGCTCGTGCCTCCCTGTTACATTTGGTGTCAGAAGTGCTACTCAACGCTGTGAGTACAAGAACTCAACATGAACACTAGAGGAGGGAAAAAGGCAGAGGAGCCAGATGACGGGGGTGCTATACTGTCTGGCTCTGCAACGTCTTGTGGGGGTCCAAACAATGAAGTGGAGGAATTGACGGCCCTGGTGAAATCCTTGATCTTAGACCAGAGTGCCAGAGACAAACGACTGGAGAAAGAAATGTGTCTACAGGAGCAACGCTGGAAGGCTATGCAGCAGCAGTTTCAGCAGATCCAGGAGCAGCAAGGTCAGCAGTCTGAGCACTCCGAGCTAAATGTGCGAAGACGTACGATCGGTATACAGCCGTCTCGTGACTATGAAGAAGACTTTGAAGATGACGGGCCAGACCCTGGCAGCGATGGCTACAGGCCGCGGAGGGAGCCCAAACTCCCGGTTTTGACACCGGAAGACGACATTGAACATTTTTTAATCACGTTTGAAAGAATGGCTCAGGTCTGTCACTGGCCAGAAGAAGAGTGGGCGGTCCGTCTGGTTCCCTTGTTAACTGGGAAGGCACGGAGCGCTTTCGTGCTGATGGACATTCGTTACTCTGACAACTACGAAAAGGTGAAGGAAGCCATTTTGGCCAAATATGAAATAACGAAAGAAACTTACCGACGTCGCTTCAGGTCACTTAAAATTGAGCCTGATGAGACTCCGCAGGAGCTTTACGTGCGTTTAAGGGACTTGTTAAACCGATGGCTCCAACCAGAGAAGGTGACTAAAACGGACATGTTGGAGAACCTTATTCTGGAGCAGTTTCTGCAAATGGTCAGTCCGGAGCTGGAGGTGTGGATCCGGGAGCGTGACCCACACAGTGCAGAAGAAGCCGCTCGGCTGGCAGAGGCCTTCCTATCTGCACGCCAAGGGACCAGAGCTGGCTTCTCCGGACGGGAGCCCCGCTTCACCCAGCCAAGTAAGTCCTTTGGGGGTGATAGGTCTGGTCCTATCCCGGGGGGTAATATTAGTAAGCCATCTCCACCTTACCAGTCTCACTCGGGTCCATCAAAATCCTCGAATTGGCCACAGCGTCAGGAGGTTAGGTGCTACAACTGTAATAACTTGGGTCATACACAGCATTTCTGTCCAGCCCTAAAATCTAAGCAGTCGTTGTTGTGTGCTGTACCAAGACCAGCTACAGTACCAAGTGCAAACAAAGGGGGGCGCACAACGCCCGCGCTTATCAATGGCCAAAAAGTAGAGGCGCTGTTGGACTCTGGTTGCTTCCAGTCTGTAGTTCTGTCCGGTTTGGTTCCAGAGGAGAGGTGGTCTAGAGACAGAACACAACTTATCTGTATTCATGGAGATGGACATCTGTACCCCACAGCTGAGGTCTATTTGACAGTCGGAGGGCAAACCTATTTGTTAAATGTGGCCCTGGCAGGGAACTTGCCTTTTGCGGCCATTCTCGGTAATGATCTTCCCACCTTACGTGATCTTATAGCTCAAAGTAACCTAAAAGGAAAGGTCAATACAGATTTTGAAAGTGGTGAACCTGTTAACTCTGTAAATGTCCTCACCAGGGCCCAAAAAGAAAAGGCTTTGCTAGAAGAGCTGCCTTTTTGGGAGGAAGATTTGGAGGCTCAGCCAGGGAAGAGCAGGAAGACAAGAGCCCAGAAAAGACAAGAGAAGTTTGTGGGCTCCCCTAAAGAAAACTGTGATTTGGCTAAACCCCTCAGTCCAGTTGCGTTTGAGATCCCATCAGATATTGGTGCACTTCAAAAGCAAGACCCATCTCTCAAAGCATGGTTTGGAAATGTGACCAATCAGAAGGAAACAAAAATCTTAGATGGGGCACAATACGTTATTAAAGATGGCATTTTGTATCAAGTTAATGAGAGAACTGAAGCCCTTGCGTTACCACACCAGTTCAGACGACAGGTTATGGAACTGGGCCACTCAATTCCCTGGGCCGGCCATATGGCTTTCCAAAAAACCATGCGCCGAATTGGCAGTCGCTTTGCATGGCCGGGTATGTATACCCAAATTATGCAGTTCTGTAAATCTTGTGAAAAGTGTCAGTTGACAGCAGGGAAGGGAGTTGCTCAGGCCCAGTTACAGCCGCTACCTATAATTGGTACCCCATTTGAAAGAATTGGCATGGACATTGTGGGCCCACTTGAGAAAAGTTCTGCTGGAAACCGTTTCATTTTGGTTATTTGTGATTATGCTACGCGCTACCCTGAAGCCTTTCCGCTGCGCTCAATCAAGGCAAAACAAGTTGCTAATTGTTTATTGCAGCTATTTTCTAGAGTGGGTGTCTCCAAAGAAATTCTGACAGATTGCGGTACCAATTTCATGTCAAAGTTCTTAAAACAAGTCTATCAGTTGTTGGGGATTAAGGGGATCAGGACCACACCTTATCACCCCCAAACGGACGGATTGGTAGAGCGCTACAATAAGACTCTGAAACACATGCTGCCCAAGTTTGTTTCCTCCACAGGCACTGACTGGGACCAGTGGTTGCCTTATCTGCTGTTCGCCTACCGGGAGGTTCCACAGGCGTCCACCGGCTTCTCGCCCTTCGAACTGTTGTATGGACGCCAGGTGCGGGGGCCACTGGATCTCCTGAGGGACTACTGGGAGCAGACGGGGAAGGAAGGGGAAAACGTCATCTCTTATGTTATTAACATGAGGGAGCGACTCGAGACTATGTCGGCACTGGCGCAGGAGAACCTGAGGGAGGCGCAACAGCGTCAAAAGACGTGGTTTGACCAAAAAGCTAAACGGAGAGTCTTCAGCCCAGGCCAAAAGGTACTGTTGCTCCTACCAACTAGTGACAATAAGCTGCTTGCTAAATGGCACGGTCCTTATGACATCACAAAGAAGGTGGGAAATGTAACTTATGAACTCTTTATGCCGGAAAGACAGAAGAAGCACCAAATTTTTCATGTTAACCTCCTCAAAGAGTTTCACACACGTCAGGAGCCTGCACAACAGTTGTTGGTCCGGGTTGTGCAGGATGAAGAAGTCTCAGAGAAATATTTTCCCACCTGTAGTGAGGACACTGTGTCCATTGACCTCTCTCCCTCCCAGCAGGAATCCCTTCAGTCACTGCTTGACCCATCTCTTTTCAAGGAGAGTCCTGGCTTCACCTCGTTGGTGCAGCATAAGATACGGCTGAAACAGAATGCCCCAGTCCGTCAAAGGAGCTACAGGATACCAGAGCGGTTGGTGCCGGTTCTACAAAAAGAAATAATGCTAATGCTGGAGCTTGGCATCATTGAAGTGTCCAGCAGCGAGTGGTGTAGCCCCATCGTTCTGGTACCAAAGAAGGACAGCTCTTTGCGTTTTTGCATTGATTTTAGATACCTGAACACAATTTCCAACTTCGACCCATACCCAATGCCATGGATTGACGATCTTTTGGAGCGAGTGGGCGGAGCATTGTACATCACCACCTTGGACCTCAGTAAAGGCTACTGGCAACTGGCGCTGGCCCCAGAAGCAAAAGAGCTCACTGCATTCAAGACACCATTTGGTATGTACCAGTTTAAAGTAATGCCATTTGGTCTGCAGGGGGCGCCAGCGACTTTCCAGCGCCTGATGGACGACATACTGCGGGACGTGGCTGACTTCTCAGCAGCCTACTTAGACGACGTTGTGGTGTACAGTAGCTCCTGGGAAGAACATTTGCACCACCTCCGGGAGGTCTTGCAGAGGATCAGAGCGGCGGGTCTCACCATCAACCCCCGGAAGTGTGCAGTGGCCCACCGGGAAGTGCAGTATCTGGGCTTTACTATTGGTTTCGGGAGGATCAAGCCACAGGTGGACAAAATGGACGCCGTCCGCTCCTTCCCAATCCCCACCACAAAAAGAAAGGTGAGGGGATTTATTGGACTAGTCGGCTGGTACAGAAAGTTTGTGCCAAACTTTTCTGAGCGATCTGCTGTTTTAACTGATCTGACTAAGAATGCAGCCCCCAATAAAGTGCGCTGGACAGAGGAATGTGAGCGCGCCTTTAAAGACTTGAAGGAGGCCATTTGCAGAGAACCGGTCCTACACAGCCCGGATTTTAGTCAGCCCTTCATCCTCCAGACGGACGCCTCGCAGTGTGGGCTGGGAGCTGTCCTGATCCAGGAGAAGGAGGGGGAGAGGAGACCAGTTGTTTTTCTTAGTCGGAAGCTGTTGGACCGTGAGACCAGGTACTCGACAGTTGAAAAGGAGTGCCTGGCAGTGAAATGGGCTGTTGACTCTCTCAGGTACTACCTGCTTGGACGTCACTTTGTGCTAGAGACCGATCATCGCGCGCTCCAGTGGTTGCACCGGATGAAGGATGCCAACAACCGCATCACTGGATGGTATCTCTCACTGCAGCCCTACAATTTTACAGTACAGTATCGCCCGGGCAAGTCTAACGTTGTTGCTGACTGGCTCTCTAGAAGCGCAGAAGACAGAGGCTTCGCCAGGGAGAAGGAGGGGGAAGTGTAACAACCCGGCCGTTCGTTACCCAACCCACACTGCACTTTTGAACATGGCTAGATTGCACATATAAAGACATTGCACATATATTCATGTAAGAATGTTTATTGAGAGGGCTGTGGTTGTCCGTGGGTCCGGTGTGGTGCGTTCCGGGTAGGGTGCCGGTCCTGCGGAGGCAACATGTAATTAGAATTGGGCATAGTGCAATATGTGTAGCTTAAGAAGTGGTAATGTTTTAGTGTTTGTGCATGCGGTGAATGGTCGGGTGTCTGGGTGCGTGAATGTGTGTGTGAGCGCAGTTTGTTTACCTTGTCTCTTGTGTCCAGGATAGCGTGTCTGACGGAAAGAGTCCGGGGGGGAACGGACGCCGCTAAAACCCGTTCCGGGCTGAACCAAGGGGCAGAATAGGCGGGGGGGGGACTGCAGGGTTGTAACGGGTTTTAGGTCTTGGTTTATTTTGTTGAGTGGTTTGGGTTGGGATTGTGTATAGTGGGGTTTTTTTCTATGTCTTTGTATTTTGGTTGGGGTTTATATGTGAGGGTTGTAGAGGTTGTGAGAGCAAATGTGACATGTGGACACCTGCTTATCTAGAGTGGTTTTATCCAATTTAGAGGGAGGGTATTTAATGAGTCTCATGCTCTCACTCTGGGTTGGGCTGCTGGATGAGCTACACTGATTGAGTCCTCCCATGCACTTTAATGCATTTGCACTTTATTATGGTGAACTTTGCATTTTTTCACACAAAAAAAAGAAAATAAATTTGAAAAGTGGACCCTCAAGACTGCCTCCCTGGTGTTTGTGTGCCCACCGCCGCCCGCTCGTGCCTCCCTGTTACAGTCATTTGTCATAACGGATCTTTCAGGAAGCACTGAACACCCTCTGTCCAGAGAAGCTGATGACCAGATCCTCCTGGCCCTGGCGCGTCTGTGACATTGAAAACGTGCTGTCCTCAGCGCCCCCCATGGTGCACGTCAAAATAAAACATTTTACATTCACCTCTTTCAATGTGTTTTGTTATGGCCAGAAAAATATACACAATGTCCCTTCTAAGACAAACAATTACAAGTGATGGTAAGGCAACGTTTGTTATCCCTTTTTGCTCAAATGAATAACGCTGTTATTATCCAGGTCCTTATCCATCGCTGCTGCAGCGAACACTATCAGAGATATCCAACAAAATGTTAATCTTTATGTTGTAGCTTGTTTGAATAAATTTCCTCAAAATAATTCAAAAGCAGTAGCTCAGTTGGTAGCGCATTGGCCTTAGAGCCTGAAGGTCGTGGGTTCGATCCCACCGTAAGACCTACTTCACGACTCCCACTGATGACTGCTGTCGTTGTGTCCTTGGGCAAGACACGTAACCCCACTTTGCCTGAAGCCCCCGCTGAAAGATCAAGGCTCCTGTGGACTCACCACCTGCAGGAGGATCAGTGAGGGGCTGGTGCTATGTGTACTGGGTGCAGCTCTGACTGTCACCCCCCCAACCCAGAAATGGATTAAGGGGAAGAAAATGGATGGATGGATGGAATTCAAAAGCAGCCACGCACACACAGTCACACGCACACACAGTCACACGCACACACAGCCACAAGCACACACAGTCACACGCACACACAGTCACACGCACACACAGCCACAAGCACACACAGTCACACGCACACACAGCCACAAGCACAGACAGTCACACGCACAGACAGTCACACGCACAGACAGCCACGCTTCAGGGGCCCAGGTTGAAGGAACTGGAGTCTTCCTCTGGCAGATTTTCCTTTGAAACACAATAGAGGAGGCATCAGTTTTATCTACTCAAATATGACTTTGATATATTCATCATCAACACCAGTATTTATTGATCACCAGGAGTGGACCCTGATTCACAGGATCCTTGTACATGTTTATTTGGACTGTGCTTTGTGAGAGAAAGACACTTACATCGGCTGTTTTGGGAGTCGAGTGATTATCTCACTCCTCTTGATTGTTGAAACTCAGCGACAGTTTTGTCAACACTGACTCCTGGAACATGATCGATATTCATTTTGGACCTCAGGGCAGCAACATAACTGTAAGTAAGTAAAGTTTATTTGTATAGCGCCTTTCACAGACCAGGGTCACAAAGCGCTTCACACATTAAAATACAAAATACACATACAAGTCAGATAGAACAAACACAGAAAACACAGTTTACATTCACAGAGGCCTATGAACAATGGTGCGAGAAAGCCTGTCC